ATGATAAAAATCATTGCTTTAGAAATGATTTTGGGCAAATTATGTGTGTAATATCTAAACTATCAATTTACGTTTGTTTTAGTACCTAAACTTTAAATTTTTTTAAAATTATATTTAACGTTTAATTTTTGTTGGATTTTAATATCCGCCGTCAAAAAATTTTAATTCATTACTCAATTATCTTCTCACTCCTATTTTGATCATTGAAATTTAATTTTTTTAATTTAATTACGTAACTTTCAAATTACCCCTAATTTAATCATTCTAACTTTTAAATTTATTTTTTATTTTATTTATATTAATAAATTAATAAAAAAATATTGTGTCACAAAATATTATTAATAAAACAAATCAAAGTAATTTATCTATAAATAATAATAAAAAGTTGAATAGTTATGTTGAAATTTTTTAAACTTTAATGGCCAAAATAAGAGTGAAAAAATAGTTAAATGATGAAAGATGTAATTTATCCATAAAAAATGTCATGGAAAAAGTTATGTTGAGTTTTTAACGATGGATATTAATATGAAATAAAAATTAAGCATTAAGAAAAAAACAATAAAAAAATATTTTTCGAAGAGGAAACATTCAAGAAAAATACACCACTTTCTACAACAAAAAGGAACCACCCTGCAAATCAAATATCAAGCAATGGTCATCCATAGTTGATTGCTTTCACTCCAATCAAAGGGAACAAGCATACGCATAAGAGCGCTTGCAATCGCGTCTCGGAACTCCGGTTCGGGTCGTCGGACGACCAAATCCCGCCCCGGAAATAAGAATCAATACAGTTCCATCATAGAAATGAAACAGAATCAAGTGAAAGGTTTGAAACAGGAGAGAAATCTATCTGGGAACAAGTAGGGACAAGCATTCGATCGAGTCGAATGCATATAATGCAGATGCATATTATACCACAAATCGAGGAAAACAGTAAGATTTCCTCATCTATATATCTTCAAGGAACATACAAGAAACTCAAAATCACAGTGTTATGAAGGATTCAAGGCATGGAAAAATGATGGCTTGAATGAAATAAGACACAGTAAGCATACGGGTATGTTTCTGTAATGTGTGTTTGTGTATACACACACATACGTATATACATTTTTTTGAAAGGACATACATATATACATACATGTATGTGTGTATATTTAAGACTAAGATATGTAGATATACAGTTATATATACATATATAAGCTTAAGATATATAATTATGATAATGAAACCTTAAAGATATAGAATTACAACACTGGATTTATACAAAAAAGTTTCCTTGAAACATGATGAGAGCTCAAGTCCGAGTCATCCAGCTATCATGAAACTTCATTTCAATTCGAATCTTTAGATACCAAAGATCGTAAACAAATACCCAAATTACTGGAAAAAATGGCAAATCATCTTAAAAATCTCAAGTTCAAGTCATCCAACTATCATGAAACTTCATTTCAATTCAAATCTTTAGATACCAAAGATCGTAAACAAATACCCAAATTCCTGAAAAAATGGCAAGTTCAAGTCATCCAACTATCATGAAACTTCATTTCAATTCAAATCTTTTGATACCCAAGATCGTAAACAAATACCCAAATTCCTGAAAAAATGGCAAATCATCTTAAAGATCTCAAGTTCAAGTCATCCAATCCAACTATCATGGAACTTCATTTCAATTCAAATCTTTAGATACCAAAGATAGTTAACAAATACCCAAATTCCTGAAAAAATGGCAAATCATCTTAAAGATCTCATGTTCAAGTCATCCAACTATCATGAAACTTCATTTCAATTCAAATATTTAGATACCAAAGATCGTAAACAAATACCCAAATTCATGGGGGAAAATGGCAAATCATCTTAAAGAGCTCAAGTTCAAGTCATCCAACTATCATGGAACTTCATTTCAATTTAAATCTTTAGATACCAAAGATCGTAAACAAATACCCAAATTCCTGAAAATGGAAAATCATCTTAAAGAGCTCAAGTTCAACTCATCTAGTTATCATGAAACTTCATTTCAATTCAAATCTTTAGATGCCAAAGATCATAAACAAATACCCAATTCCTGAAAAATGACAAATCTTACACAATAACCAAAATTACCTACAGATTGAATCAACAATTGAGATAGATAGATATGCAGGAAAATTAAAGAACCCAAAAATTGAACACTTAAAAAAACATGTACTATGAAATAATGATCTTACAGAGTTTTGGGTATCTTTATATGATGAGAACTGAGAATTTTAGCTCTCTAATCCTCTATGCTTCTTTACGTTTTCGTTTACTGTGACTGTATAAACTGGATTACTGCTAGAAATGAATGCAAAATAGGGGTTTTTCAGTTTGTGTTAACTTTAGATTAGCGTTTGATCGAGTTGATTCAAAAAAAAATTAGTTGTTCGAAGTGACAAATCTTATTTCATACCTCGAAGTTGACTTAATTGTTTGATTCGAGTTTTTATTTAAATTTAATTATAAATATTTATAATAATATGATAATATTTGTTTACAGTTTAAATGATTTTTTATAACTATATATAATACATATAAATTTCTTCATATGCGATATATATATATTATATAAATTGAAAGGACTCGATTGAAACTTAAAAAATAATCTACTAATTATTAAAAATTTCTAATTATTCGAGTTACCGTTTGAGTTGTATTTTACAACTCGATTTGAACTTAAATTTTTTTAAATCGAGTTGAGGTTATGAAATTATAACTCAAAGCTAATTTAATTTGAGTTCTTTTTGTATTGAATTGAATCGAAAAATTCATTTTTTTTCAAACCGAGTCAAATTTTGTTAACCATAATTAATGTGCATTTGCATTTCCAATCGGCGGTGACGCGGCCTGTTTCTTGTTCTTTAATCTTCAAACGCTGGATTATGATGGTCATTTGTCAGTATACCGTAAACGAACACGAACAAGTAATTTAATTTCTTGTATTTGTTCATTCATTAAAGAATGTAATTTGTTTGTGTCTTATATTGTTTGTTAAAATGATAAACGACCCAAACAGAGACGGACGCAGGATTTTGTGTTAAGGGGCGAACTTGAACTTATAAAATTTTATGGGCTAAACACAAATTTTCAATAAAAAATACATAGAAATAATAAAAAATATATAATACTTTTAAATTTTCAAGGGCGACTGTCCCCACCCGTCCCCTCGATCCATGCCTGGACACAAAAGAATGTAAACGAATATAAAGTAATGCTAATGAAAATAGATGAACGAACATAAAATATAACTTTCTTTTAAATAAAACAAAATTTCCTAAAATAATATAAATAAACGAACATAACTATAAATTTGATTAAACGAATGAACGAAAAAAAAAACGAATGGATTATCGATCATAAATGAATATAAACAAACGAATTGCGAATGTAAACGAACATAAACAAACAAAAATAAATGAACGAATTACAGAACGTTCACGAACATAAGTGAACGAACGAGTCATTTGTTCATGTTCGTTTATTTGATTAAATGAAATTTTTGTTCATGTTTACTCGTTTAATAAATAAATGAACATAAGCGATGTTCTTGCTGAACGGTTCACGAACGATTAGCTGAATGTTCATTTCACTTACATGCCTATATGACATGTGGATTTTTAATTTTTTTAATCTAACAAATCAAAAACCAAATCAGTTTAATTTGAATTAAAATGTTAATTTCAAATATATAATTGAATAAAAAAATATATGAATATCAAATTAAATTAAAAAACTAGGTTAAGGTATTAATTTATACAAAATAATTAAGTTCATGTACCTCATTGAAACTAAAAGAAGATTTCATGTACTAAACTAAACCTTAAATCAAAATAAGATTAGAATTATATATTTATCATTTTAAAATAACCTTAAAATCAACTTATTTTGGACTTTGTTCCCTTCAAAGCTATTTGAATTTGGTAATTTTTTCTATATCTAACTAGATAGTTAAATTTAGTCTTAAGGTATAATTTATTAATTAATTTTTAGGTAAAGTACACAAATGGTCCCTTGATGACACTGTTTTGTTGAGTCCAACTATTTAAAGTTATAAAATGATCATCACATTGTTTTGTTGAGTCCTTCGATTAAAAATAGTCACCTGACTATTCATATGATCCAAATTCTCCATTAAAAATTGATGACCGTCCGAACTGAATGTTAACATGCTGATTGAGACATGATAAAATCATATTTTAATGATGTATATCGACATCGTCGTTGCTTTCAAGCAATGGTTCGATAACATGTTGTTTGAAGCACTAGCTCGATAGTATAATGTAAACATATACCGAATCCTCAAAATACGACTCAAACGGTTATGAGATCAGTATTTTATCATATCATAGTGAGCATGTTAACGTTCAGCTCTGACGACCATCATTTTTTTAATAAAAAGTGACAAGTTTGAAACATACGAATAGTCAAGTGACTATTTTATAACTTTTGATAGTTGAGAGACTCAACAAAATAGCTTCTTATATTCGGGGAGACTATTTTATAACTTTCAATAGTCAGGAGACTCAACAAAGTGACATCCTATAACCGAGAGACCATTTGTGTACTTTACCCTTAAATTTTTTTGTGTCCAATTAGATATGTAAATTTAGATTTTAGATCCAAATTAGTACATAAATTTGACTTCATGATTTAAATATTATTCAGATAAACAATTTATAATAAGTACTAATTTGGTCTAAAAGTAAAGTTTAAGTGCAAATTTGACCTAAAATGTAAAATTCAGGAATCTAATTAGTCGAAAAGGACTTTAGACACCAAATTGAATCTTAAAACATAATTCAAGTATCTAATTAGATAAAAATATTAGGTACTAAATTGCATTATAAGTCCAAATTGAGGTACTAAAATACACATCTAACCTTTATGATGTTGAAGTAAATTAAAATCAAAATCCCTAGCCAAAGAGGAGTTAAACTCTAGTATATATTATATATTAGATTTCCCAATCATCCAACATCCTCGAATTTTCTCCATCTGTTTTCGCCTTAATTTTCTTCGAAGCCCCTTATTTTTCTTTTCATAGGAATAATTAGGACCCCGTTTGTTTCCCAGGAAGATTTAACGGGAAAAGAGCTAAATTTTTATTTCGTTTTCTTCGAAGCTATGGCTTCCCAAAAACCCCAAAGAACCCCAGAAGAAATAGAGGATATAATCCTCAGGAAAATCTTCCTCGTAGCCCTTAAAGAAAATCCATCGTCTTCTGATCCAAGGGTTGTTTACCTGGAGATGACGGCAGCTGAGATCTTAAGTGAAGGGAAGAATCTTTTACTCTCTCGTGATCTAATGGAAAGGGTTTTGATTGATCGTCTCTCCGGCGAATTCCCAAATTCGGAACCCTCTTTTGATTATCTCATCGGTTGTTACAAGCGAGCCCATGAAGAAATCAAGAAGATTTCCAACATGAAAGACAAAACGCTGCGTTCCGAGATGGAATCCGCCGCTAAACAGGCGAAGAAGCTGGCTGTTTCTTATGCTAGGATTCATCTGGGGAATCCCGATTTGTTCTCTAATGGTGAATTAAGGGATAATAAACCTAAAGTGCGTCCTTCTGGGTCTTCGAATTCCCCTTTGTTTCCATTACTCTTTGCTGAACTTTCGAATGGAGTTATGCTTGATGGATTTGGAGGTAACGATTTTGGAAGAGGCGTGGATTGCCCACCTGGGTTTTTTGAAGAGTTCTTCAAGGATTCGGATTTCGATACTCTAGACCCGATCTTAAAAGGGTTGTATGAGGATTTAAGAGGGAGTGTTTTGAAAGTTTCTGTTTTGGGGAATTTTCAGCAACCTTTGAGAGCTTTATCGTATCTGGTTAAACTTCCCGTTGGTGCTAAGAGCCTGGTTAATCATCCATGGTGGATTCCTAAAGGGGTTTACTTGAATGGACGTGTCATTGAAATGACTAGCATTTTGGGTCCCTTTTTCCATGTTAGTGCTTTGCCTGATCATACGATTTTCAAGAGCCAGCCTGATGTTGGGTGAGTTTAGATTGTGATTTTGTGTTTGTGGTAATGCTTGTTTTAGTTTTTGTGTTAATTGAGAACGAATTTTACCTCATTATAACTATCGTTTTTAATTCAGGTCTAGATTTCTAGTGGCTATGTGCATTGTATGAGTAGTTATTGGAAACATAGCTGGCATTGCTGAATGCGGTTATGCTTTTAACCTTGGATTGAATGGTTGAAGTCCTTGACTATCTGGTACTAAAATTTATGGAGTTTAAACTAGTGTTTTGAATGTTCATTTTAGTAGGGTAACTAATCTTAGGGAGGTTATAATACATTAGTAATTAGGAAGCATTTATTCATTAGTATAGAGTGGGCTAGCAATGGCAGTCAATTTCAACTTTTGTTGTTTTGATGATGTCAACTATTGGAGTCTTTGTTGAGGGCCGACTCTGAATGATGTTGCTTGTTTGCCGTTATTGTTGTTTCTGTCTTGATTGCTCCTCTCAAGTTTTGTCGGGGTGACCTCTAATTAGATTGAGTAACCCTTTCCTCATTAAAGGCCTCCTTCTTAAATTTAGATTGATTCTTTGCATTGGTTGAGTTTCATAGTTTTTGTTCAATGGTTTGTTCTTAGTTGAATTATTTATACGTTCATGTAATATTCTCTTTGGCTTGAGTGTGTTCCATACGATGATGTTTGATTCGGCTCTTTATTTATTTGGAAGCTACTTGATTTTTAAATTTTTTATACCTCAAATATTGCAGTAGTTAATTACTGAATCTTCTTTCTATTAGTATAATTACAGAAATTTTAAATTGTTATCAAAGATTCATGCCTTTGTGTTTGTCTCATAGTATAGTTTTTTCTCACTTGTAATTGTTTTTATGCAATTGTTGTCACTCTGACTTTTTCCTTCTATTAGCTTTTGTCCAGTAATGGATTTTCTCTTTTGAAATTACAGCCAGCAGTGCTTCTCAGACGCATCCACTAGACGAGCGGCTGACTTGTTATCTTCATTCACCACAATCAAGACTCTCATGAATACTTTATACAATGATCTGGCTGATGTTCTTCTCTGTCTCCTTAGAAACGCTGAGACCCGTGACAGTGTCCTAGAGTATCTTGCAGAAGTCATCAATAAAAATGCATCAAGGGCCCATATACAGGTCTCCCTCCTAATTTTGTTTTCAAGTTTAAGTTAGATTGCATCAAGAGCTTAACTATTGCATCAAGAACTTGTTCTTTGGTTTATTCTACCTGAGAATGGTTAACTTGAAAGGCTGATTTGTTTCTTAATTGTAAATCTGGTTATGTAGTCTGGCCTCGTTCACACTTTGTTTATGTGGACCTGTTTGATAGGTGGATCCTATATCTTGTGCTAGTTCTGGCATGTTTGTCAATCTCAGCGCCGTTATGCTCCGGCTTGCAGAACCATTTTTGGATGCAAATTTATCAAAAATCGATAAAATCGATCCAACCTATGTCTTCAACAGTAATCGTTTGGATTTGAGGTGAGGTGGTGGATTTTTTTCTTCCCTTTTTTTTTCAATGGGGAGCATTATTGTTTTTCTTCAATCTGTTAGACGCTTTGAATCCTTTTATTTAAGTATTGATAGTGAACCAATTTTAGGGGGCTAACTGCTCTGCATGCTACCTCGGAAGAAGTTGCTGAATGGATTGATAAAGTTAATCCTGTAAAAATTGATGGGAGTGGACTAAGTTGTGATGGTGAAAATCGTTTGAGGCAAATGCAAGATGCATCCAGTTCAGGAAGTACCCACAATGTGAAGCCTACCCAAAGTAGCGGTGTAAAAGCTAAATATACATTTATTTGTGAATGCTTCTTTATAACAGCTAGGGTACTTAACTTGGGCCTTCTAAAGGCATTTTCAGACTTTAAGCATCTTGTACAGGTAATGCATCACTGCTTACTGAGCTCTTTTTTGTTCTTGTTTCATCTACTGATTAGTCGAGTTATTTGATACGCTGTCACCCAGGACATTTCGAGAAGTGAAGATGCACTGGCCAGCTTAAAAGCTATGCAAGAACAGACACCTTCTCCACAACTGGAGCTCGATATATCGAGGCTTGAGAAGGAGATCGAATTGTATACACAGGAAAAGTTCTGTTACGAAGCACAAATTTTGAGGGTACATCTTATCTCCTCCTCCTTAGTGTGTCTGCATATGTTGCTCTCATTCTTTAGTTTTCTTGAACATACATGTGTCTTATGCATATTTGGATATGGTATGAGGATATAACTCTGCAAGTATCCTGCAAAGAAATTGAAAACTTGAAAAAAATTTGAAGATACCCAAATCTACATTAAATAGGTACCTGGACACTTACTTGTCTACTGAACTTTGAAGTGAATAGGTGCCATTGTTGTTAATTAGAAGCATGTAGTCTATCTTGTAGATTCAGGGCAATCTCTTTGTTGTTTTCCCTCTTATTCCTTATTTAGCATTCCGTTTGTGTCGAATAGGAGATTTTCTGTTTATATGATTATATCTGTTTGATCATCTTTTCTTTGCTTTTGATATATTTGTGGAAAGGAAATATATAAACTTGGTAGAATTTGAATTGTGTTGCTTTCTTCTTTTCACAAGGACGGGGTGCTTATTCAGCGTGCACTTTCATTCTATCGACTAATGGTGGTTTGGTTAGTTGGCTTGGTTGGTGGATTCAAAATGCCCCTGCCGTCTACATGTCCAATGGAATTTGCTTCGATGCCAGAGCACTTTGTGGAAGATGCTATGGAACTATTAATATTTGCCTCCCGGATTCCAAAAGCTCTTGATGGGGTTATACTGGTAGGGTTTGGATTTAGATAGCTATGTGTCTTGTCATACCACAAATTTAATTGTATCATTACGATTTTATTTATTTATTTATTCTCTTGCTTTTTGCTTTGTCAGGATGATTTTATGAATTTTATTATCATGTTTATGGCAAGTCCGCAATTTATCAAGAACCCGTATCTCAGAGCAAAAATGGTTGAAGTTTTGAACTGTTGGATGCCACGTAGAAGGTTAGTCAATCTCATTCGAAGAATATATACTGTTTCCCCATGTTTCTTGAATGTAAGTTCACTCTTTATTTATTGCTTTCTTTCCAGTGGCTCATCTGCGACATCGACACTATTTGAAGGGCATCAACTATCTTTGGAATATCTTGTGCGGAATCTGTTAAAGCTATATGTTGATATTGAGTTCACAGGTTCTCATACACAGGTAATTTGCTACCTATAGTTGCTTCTTTTTCATGTTCTAATCTCTTCGAGTTTTCATTGTTGACTCACTCGTTGCTTCTCTATGTGCAGTTCTATGATAAGTTCAACATCCGACATAACATTGCCGAACTTCTTGAATATCTTTGGCAAGTTCCTAGTCACCGTAATGCTTGGAAACAGGTAGGGTCTTCTTCACAGGCACATACATGTGGAACTTTCTACGATTCATTTTTGCTTTAACAATCAATGTCTTTCCGAATTTTATTGAAATTTAATATCTATCAGATTGCGAAGGAAGAAGAAAAGGGTGTTTATCTGAATTTCTTGAATTTCCTGATCAACGATAGCATCTACCTTCTCGATGAAAGTCTTAACAAAATCCTTGAACTCAAAGAGCTCGAGGCCGAGATGTCAAATACGGCAGAATGGGAACGCAGGCCTGCTCAGGAGAGGCAAGAGAGAACTAGACTGTTCCACTCCCAGGAGAATGTCGGTTTCCCTTCCATTCCTTTGCATGTATACCTATGATTTGTGTTTTTGAATTTAGACTTGATTAAACATTTCTTACGGATTATTTTCAGATTATACGAATTGATATGAAGTTGGCAAATGAGGATGTTAGCATGCTGGCATTTACATCCGAGCAGATTACAGCTCCTTTTCTACTCCCTGAGATGGTAACATAATTTCATCCATACATTGTCATCTGGCAAATTTGTGCCGCCTAGTTTCCACGTTTGATAATGTTATACCATCTCATCTCGATTCTTCTAAGCTTCGGTTTGTCCATTTTTGTTCCGTGTTCCTTTTTCCAGGTCGAAAGAGTGGCAAATATGCTCAACTACTTTTTATTGCAATTAGTCGGCCCTCAAAGAAAATCTCTTACGCTGAAAGACCCTGAAAAGTATGAATTCCGACCGAAAGAGTTACTCAAGCAGGTTAGCAAGATGTAGAATTTTCATTTGAGTATATTCTAAACAATGAGGAAGTAAGAAGTTAATAATTTGATTAGAAAGTGACTTCGAATTTAACTGATATTTTATGTATTGCGAATTGCTTGTACTTGAAGATTGTCCGCATATATGTTCATCTGGCGAGGGGTGATTCCAAAAACATATTTCCCACCGCCATCTCCAGTGATGGCCGATCGTACAACGAACAGGTATTTTTACCCGCGTTCAGCCATTCGTTAAATTAAGTAATGGACTGATTGTGCATCGATGCTCTCATTGAGTCCTAACAACCTGATAAATCGGGTTTGCTCCAGTTGTTTAGTGCTGCAGCAGATGTTCTTCGAAGAATCGGTGAGGATGGGAGGATTATACAAGATTTTATTGAACTTGGTACAAAGGCCAAGGCTGCGGCTTCAGAGGCCATGGACGCCGAAGCGGCACTCGGAGATATACCCGATGAATTCCTTGATCCAATTCAAGTATGTCTATTTGCATTCCAGCTATATTTTGTTTACTTTCAGAGTTCATCAAACAGAAATTAACTGACCATTAACACACTCTTCTTTCCTGCAGTATACGTTGATGAAGGATCCGGTGATCTTACCATCTTCGAGAATCACAATAGACAGACCTGTTATCCAGAGACATCTTCTAAGCGATGGCGTAAGTCTGCCTCACATATTCTGTTCTTATAACGATAACGTTTGCCAGAATGTCGTGCTAATTCGATATGATTTGCAGACCGATCCATTCAACCGATCTCATCTTACCGCGGAAATGCTGATTCCGGACACCGAACTTAAGGCAAGAATTGAAGAGTTTGTCAGGTCCCAGGAACTGAAGAAGCATGGAGAAGGCTTGAACATGCAAAGCTCTAAAGGCACAATACAACCAACCAGTGGAGAGATGTTAATTGATTAGGTTGAATTAGGGTTCATCATAGTTTCTCGAATTGTGTATTTATTATGTTTTTCCATATATGTATTCATGTTATATATAGCTCTTTATTTTCTTTCGAGAATCGGTGTTCGAGTTCGACGTCTGTGTCCGACACATAACCGGACATAGTATAGGCTTACTATCTATCAGGGATTCTTCAAATATATGATAAAAATTGAACATATTTGTCAAATTGGTCAACAATTTTCTGATTTGACATGTTAAAGTGCGCTCAGCATACCGATAACTAAACTATAATTTCATCGACATCATTTGATTTATTGTTACCCAAATTTTGTCCTTCGAGCTGCTAGCCGGATATGGTTTTCATTCATTTGAAGTAGTTCATCAACTTGATCCGATTCAAAGATTAGTGGACCCGAATAGCCAATCTTCATCTGATGATTGAAACCGTAGATTAATTAAAAGAGCGAACCAAAATGTTCATTAATGTGAAAATTTGAGGAAAAAATTGTGATGAATTACAGATTATCGAAACTGATTCTCGCCTTGTTTTTGTGTTTAGTCATCAGGTAGTCACGAGGAAACCCATCAATGGCGTCAAACAAATCCGCTTGTTGATCAATTACACCTTCAGAAACATCTTGATTCTCTTGTTTCGATGAATTGAAGATGGTGTCTGCATTTTTGAGGATGAAGATCGATGAATCGATTATCTCACTGATCGAACTTGGTTGATTATAAGAAAGCGTAGATCTCGCTTCTTTTTGCTTCTTCGCCCATGCGAAGCTGCTCGATCCGGTCACCGGCGGCGGAGCGGTGAAAACATCGCCTCGAGACACCGTTGTCACTTGCGATGTCTCCGATCTCGTGTCGACTGGTTGATTCAGGCCTGCTTTGGGTTTCGGATGATTTGCAGTAACTCCATTGTCCTGCTGTTCATTCATGTACAGGGTATGAAAAATACATCATCGTTAGGTGTTTGTGTTAATGCCTGGCTGAATCAATTGCAGTTTTGGGAGTTGCAGGTAGGTCTCCTTGAGATCGATTCGGTCAAAAACTCGATAAATATTCGAATAGAATTGATCCGACTCGAGTTCTTAACGAACCGAAACGAGTTGGTTGATACTCGATTTGAAAAGCTAACGAACAGCTCGAGAATATAATATACTAGGGTTTTATTTTTTTTTAAAATAAACTATTAATAATATTAATATTTATACGATGATTTTAAAAAAATGCAGTATAAGATTTTTTGTATTTAAGTTTCGAGTTTGAGTTCAAGACTTCAATCGAGTTAAGTTTAAGCTTCAGTTCATGGTTTCGAGTCGAGCCGAGCTCAGCAATACTCGAACTCGATTCGACGCGTTTACAACCCTAGTTGCAGGTACCTCTTTCGCCACTGTTTTATCGAAATTGTTAGCTTCTTGCAATGATTTTCGAGGTCGTCTTGCTTTTCTCATTACTCCTACTGGATCTCGAATTTTAGCTCCAAACTTCTTCCTGAAATGTTATGAACAATGCAATGATTCATAATTGTTAGCCATAGGCAATGCAGGCGACTAAATTCGGCCGAGAAGTTCACCTTCGTAAGTCATCTTGTTGCTTGGCATCGAAATCTTTTTTCGGCGAATACTTGGGCAAGCTCGAAGGTTCGCAGGGGTAGGGCTTTGTGCAGAAGTACTGAAACGATCGAGAAGTGAAAACAGATCATAAACCCCGAACATAGACCGTAAAAAAGATCATGGACGTGAAATAATCGAGAAGTGAAAGTGGAATCCCTTAATGGCGGCGAGGCATTAGTGTTTTCTTTCTTTACCTCCGATGCAAGTGCAGACGATGCAGTCCCACGCTTGTGGGGTTCGATGGAAAGATGAGTTTCGAACAAGTTCAAGGCTGTTGCCGGGATTTCTTTGCACCATTGTCGGAGACAACTCTCGTAAGGATGTTGGGGCCTAAACATTGTGGAATGAGGGAGCTTGAGCTTCGTCCAATACTCGTCTGGTGGCGATCCACAGAGTTTGAAGATTTTATGGAGTTGTTCAACCTGCCAAAAATCACATAGCCGTATGAGTGTCGGATTACGAGTATATATTCGACACGAGTATCTTCATCGTCGTTTAAAATTCACCTTGGTTCTGCCTTTGAGAATAGGTTTGCCCATAAGAACTTCAGCAAAATCACAGCCAACACTCCATTGATCCACCGTGACATCGTAACTCGTGGATCCCATCAAAAGCTCAGGAGGGCGATAACAGAGAGTGACGATTCGGCTGGTTAACCGATGCTTGTTCTTCGAGGTTAAGATGTTCGCCAATCCGAAATCCCCCAGCTTCAAAACTCCTTGGTTGTTCACCAAAATGTTGGATGCTTTAATGTCTCTATGCATCACATTACGCAAATGGCAATGCTCAAGCCCCATCAATAGCTGCTTCATATAGCACTTCACCTACACAAAGGTAAATCTAAACTCAACTTCTTAAACATTCAAGATATCATCGGATCGGATTCACGAACGCATGTCGAATCGGATGAGCTGCAGAAACGAACCTGAGCGTCACTGAACTTGATATAGGGACAAGATGACAGACCAGAAAGATCATACTCCATGTACTCGAAAACCTGGATGTGATCACGCATTACAGTTTCATGATTTTCGGATGGTTCAGCCTGCGTAGAATCGTTATTTCTCGAGCCATAAACCGAATGCTTTCGGGTTGAAAGTTGTCGAACCGCACCTTCTTCAATGCGACCATCCTCCCGGTTTCAACCTCCCGTGCTCGGAACACGCTGCTGTATGTGCCCTGTCCGATCTGCAAAACTCAAAGGTAAGCAAATGGACAATTAACAGATATATGTACGGAATATTGGAAAGGCATAATATCAAAATCACCGAACTTCGAGTGTTAATATCAAAAAGAGTGTTGATAATATCAAAATTAACCCCCAACTTTTATCAAAATAATAATTTTGGCCTATATTTTTTTGTTAGAACATTTTAGCCCACAAAGTTTCATTTTCACCAAAAAGACCCATAATATTTGATAGAATATTAACTTTAGCCCCTTTTTTTTCTTGGAGCACTTTGATCCTCAAAGTTTCATTTTCGAGTAAAAATGCTCATATTTTGAAGTGTTAATCAAGAATTTCTATCTATAGATACGGTTTTTTTACCCAAAATGAAATATTAAAGGTCAAAATATTCTTTAAAAAAAGAGTAGGGGTCAAAATGCGGGTGGCGGAGATAAAAGACACTATACAAAAGATAAGGGTCTGGTTAGGCACATTCGATATGGCGGAAGAAGCGGCGAGGGCGTACGACGAAGCCGCTTGCTTGCTTCGCTGAGCAAATACGAGAACGATTTTCTGGCCTTGTTGTTCATCATTATCGTCGACGTTGAATCCGACTCCGGCCCTTTCTTCGAAGATCAGTGATTGTCTTCTCCAAAGGATCGAAGCTAACAAATATAATCCGTATTCTCCATCGCCGCCGCCGCCAACTTCTTCCTCGCCGCCTCCAACTTCTTCCTCGCCGCCTCCTGTTAGTATCAACAATGCGAACGATGTTCTTGAAGATTTATCGAACGATGAAATCTTCAATGCCATGAGCGTTATTGATAACGAAGATGGAGCTGGGACATTGGATTTCCAGATCTTGGACGAGATTGGAATCGAGTCGTCTTGTTCTCCTTTCCAGTTCTTTGAAGAGCTTCAGTTACCAACAATGGCAGCTGAGAATTTCGCAGATGAACACTCGATGATATCGTACGAGAGGAAATTCTCAGCTTCACTCTACGCTTTCAATGGGATTCCGGTGCTGTTAAAAAGGAAGATCGGATCGGAAACTGCCATGGCGGAACGAAGATCAGAGCAATTAACAAAGCTTTCAAATGCATGCAACAAGAAGAAGAACATGAAAGATAATGATTTAGAAGATGGTGAATCTCTTTGGGCTATTGCTTTGTTGAGTCCCTCAACTATTAAAAGTTTCATAATGATCACCCAACTATTCATTATGTTCTAAACTTGTCCTTTTCCGTTAAAAAATTGACGGTATTATGAGTTGAATGTTAACACGTTGACTGTGATATGATAAAACATAATCCAAGAATCTCAAATGACTATCATGCCTTAGCCATCATGTTAACGTCCAGCTTAGACAACAACTAATTTTTAATGAAAAAAGATGAGTTTAGAACATAATAAATAGTAGGGTAACCATTTTGTAACTTTTAATAGTTGAGTCGAGTTAAATTAAAGTTGACGAGTCGTATTTTATGACTTGAATTTTATAGGTTAAAGTACACAAATAGTCCCCCGACCGTAGGATATAATAAAGTCTTTCGACTATACAAAATGAAATTGCTTTGTTGAGTCCCTCGACTATTAAAAGTTTCATAATGATCACCCGACTATTCATTATGTTCCAAACTCGTCCTTTTCCGTTAAAAATTGACGGTATTCTGAGTTGAACGTTAACATGCTGACTGTGATATGATAAAATATGATTCTAGAATCTCAAGCAACTATCATGCCTCAACCATCATGTTAACGTCCAACTTAGACAACAATTTTTTTAACGAAAAAAATGAGTTTGGAATATAATAAATAGTAGAGTGACAATTTTGTAACTTTTAATAGTCGATGCACTTAATAAAGCGACATTTTGTAGTCGATGGACCATTTGTGTACTTTACTCAATTTCATATTCTCACTTTCTATCATCAAAGTTAACGACTGTTAACGTCGAGTTACCATTTTGTTATAAATTGATAACGCTAATGACCAATTTGTAACTTTTGAAATTTCAATAAGAGAAAACAAAAACTTACTCAAACTTTAGTGACCATTGGAGTTTGAAAACAAATAATTTTATAAGCAAAATCAAGTTTATTCCACTTGGTTATTCTTTATTCCATGAAATGCTAATATTCGCACTGAAATGTATGGTTCCATATAATATTTTTTGGGGGAAATTCAGTGAAATGCAGAAAGAAAGAAAAAAATTCTTAAATAACATTTTAAAGTTATTTTTACTATTTTAAATACAAAAAAATTTACATTAAAAATAAAATTAATAATAAATTAAATTCAGATTAAATAACTCTCAACTTTGTGAACCATATCGCAATCTACACTGCTTTTTTTCTTCTTTTCTTTTTGATTAATACGTAGTAAATACAACATAATACATGTTTAAAGACAAGTCTCGGCCATTTAATATTGACAGTTCACACCCTTAACATTTCTGATGCTCGAATCCGAAACCTAAAGGAATAACCATAATTCCTTTATCACAGAGATCGTTCGGTTCGTGCTACACTGCTTTTGCTCAAGCAAGAAAGGGCACCTCATCCTGGAAAGTCCAACCATATACAGGAGAAGAATAGATAGATATGATGCATGAACTAAAACCTGATATCTAGCACATGAATATACAAGTTCGAAAAAGAAAAAATAAGTCGCATACTCGTATCTGACGCTTACACCCGATTACGCCGAACAAGAAAAGGATCATCGAAATTTCGACCTATGTGAATTCCACAAGACCAAGGTAAATTCTATCACGATAATTCATAAAAATTCCCCTAGGTTCCATAACATTGCTGAAACCATGATCACCAGTAAAGGCACAGTGTTGGAAGCTGGACTAACATACATAACCGAACCGAGTAATAGTGCCTTGGACAACCGGCTCCACACACACACGCACGCCCAAAAAAGAGAGATATACATAGAATGTTGTTATTCACATGCATCATAGGAGATTCATGGAGAAGGGTCCTTGGAAATATATCATACTCGTTTTAGAGGACCCGGAGCTGTGCAAGGAATGCAGCACAAAGATCCAGGAAGAGAAACTGTGGCCCCTGAACCCTTTGAAGATCCAGCAGATACTTCTCCTCCCGTGTTTTATAAAGCTGTTGATATCCATGGCAGAAGAAAAAGTGTTAGAAATTTTATTGAGGGCATTTGATATTCTACAACTACACTGCACGGTAAAATTCCCATGTTCTCTCACAATAATCAGTTAAGACATTCATTACCTGCACTTCGAATTTGACAACATTCGGCAACTTGGTAACACTGTCATTCTCTATAATGGCTGATTCGTCACCAAAATAGTGATTATTGTGCACGGGATTGGTGAGCATGCCTTCATTAAGACCAGGTATGCTAGGAAGCCACCTGCACTTCATGTTGTAATGCCCTATCTTCTTCCAACAGACATTGAGTTCTTGCAAAGCTTTGAGAACTTCTGTCATGATTTCACGAGGATGCGCCCGAGACTGAATATAAAAACAGAAGTTAAACTCTGGGACATAAAAGGAGTTAGTTTGACCAGTGGCCGTCCACATGTGCTACATGTCAAATCTAGTCTTAATTGTATGAACTTCTTAATTTATCATGTCGGTTATAGTTCATTTCCCCCCATAGTAAGTCACTGTCAGAAACAAAAAGCATGGACATCAAAATGCCTATAGACCGAAGCATAATCACCCAAAAGACTACAATCAATATCATACAAAGTCACCAGTGTGGGAAAACTGCTTGAGATTCAAAACTCAACCTGAAGTCCAAGAGCCCATTTCCTCTCGGGGCCTCTTAAACCCATTGCTTGATAATCAGCATATCCTGGAAGGCGGTGTCCAACAGCTGGAGATGTAGGTTCACTTGGATGTAGGCGGTTGAAGCCAGATTCCTAAAATACAGATTAAAAAAAGAATTAGAGTTCGAACTCAATAAGTGAAGGAAGAAGAAAGACGATGTCAATTAACTAGTGTAACAGAAATATGTCCTAAACAGTGGATTCCATAACCATGAGGCATCTTCAGATAAGCAATGTCAACAATAAATAGAAAAATTACAAATAACACGCACCATAGTTTCTTGAAACTCAGCTCCAAGATAGCCACTTGAGACTCGGAAACGATTGTCCAATAGTAAGTAATAAGCAACAGTTCCCTGGAAGATAATACAATAAGAAATAAGCAACGGTTCCCTGGAAGATACTCAACAGTAGGCGACAGTACCATCAAGACAATGAGTTGGAGAAGGATCAACCTCATTCTGAATTCTATTGCGAAGAGATTCAACCAGATGATTCCTTTCAAATCCCATTCGGACCACTTCCTGAAGTATCTCTTCATCAATCTGTAATTATGTTTCAGTCAGACACTCGAACTAAGACATGGCATAATATCAAGTATTGAAATTAAAATTATCTAATATTAGTAGAATTAATAACTTCTCTGGCACTACCAAATCACAAGCTAAATCTCATTATATGATCCAGGAAACATCCGAGCTTGTGTCACTTATGGGGTTGAGAATAGTAGGGAAGTAGATTATTGGAGTAAATCTATTTCCAAGAGTCCAACAAGCAAGAAAAGTCGATGATTACAAAGTATCTTACATCAACCTTAAAGGTATGGGTGTTGAAAAGGTACTCCCTGGAATAAAAACTGTGGTATTCGGTATTCAATGTACCAAAACTACATCCAGCAGCTGACAAGAGTTAACAATTTCACAGGAAAGTGCAGTCTAGGTATACTTTTTAGACCCTGATGGTTACTTTTAAGTTATCGCGTCAATGCCTTTCAGTGTTCAATATAGCATTATATAAGCATATTTACAACTGAAGGCTGAAGCTGAACACTTGAAGTTGGGAGAAAAATCATCAACCTTTCTTGCTTGTTGCATTGTATCTGGTGGGGGGAACCTTAAAGGTATGGGTGTTGAAAAGGTACTCCCTGTTATAAAAACTGTGGTATTCGGTATTCAATGTACCAAAACTACATCCAGAAGCTGACGAGAGTTAAAAATTTCACAGGAAAGTGCAGTCTAGGTATACTTTTTAGACCCTGATGATTACTTTTATCACGTCAATGCCTTTCAGTGTTCAATATAGCATTATATAAGTATATTTACAACTGAAGGCTGAAGCTGAACACTTGAAGTTGGGAGAAAAAATCAGCAACCTTTCTTGCTTGTTGCATTGTATCTGGTGGGGGGACAGCTAAATATCTTGGAAGATGTGCTTGAAACCACGGATGCAGGCGGATCTCAGGAATGGTCATTCTTTTCATTGGATCTACTACAAGCATCCGTGGAATCAAATCTCTAGCACCAGGAGATAAATGGCTTGGAAGCGTGTATATGCCTCCCTGACGGAAAAATAATACCAAACACAAGGTATCAGTTCTTTAAGGACCTAAGCAGGTAAGAAACATGATTAAAAACGAAAATCTGATTCTAAAATTATTGACAGGACAGAAATACTACAAAGTGAAAATAAGATGAGCATAAGCATATAATTAACTAATAAATATTTTGAAAGACCTACTAGAAATCTTGGACTAAAATATGATGTCACTTACCTTTATTTTCTTAAAGAGGTTTGGAATGTTTTCATCATCAAAAGGAAGGGTGCCACAAAGAAGGGCATATAATATAACACCACAGCTCCATACATCCACTTCAGGTCCAGCATACAGTTTCCCAGAAATAACCTATAACAACGGAGATCCATACACATTAGGAAACGCCATCATGACATGATACAAATTTCAATTAAATTAAAGAAAACTGAAACAATACGACAATAAATGTAAGAAATCCACCATTAATTTAATTAAAGAAAACCTATAACAAGGGCATTTAAAATTCACGGACTCCTACCTCTGGGGCAGCATAGTTTGGGCTACCACAACTTGTCTTCAGAAAATGACCATCTCTCATAATGTTGCTCAAGCCAAAATCAGCAATCTTCACATTGCATTTGGAATCCAGAAGCAAATTTTCAGGCTTCAGGTCTCGATGAACCACCATATTTCTATGGCAGTACTCCACCCCAGAAATTATCTGCTTAAAGATTTCATACATAATTTCTAAGAAGAAAAACAATGATGGTAATTAATAGTAATAAACAAGAATTTCCAACCAGACCTGCTGAAAAAAGTTACGAGCCTCATCCTCCTGCAACCTCCCTTTCTCCACGATATAATCAAAGAGTTCTCCGGACTTCACATATTCCATAACAACAAAGATATCTGTTGCTGTCTCTATGACCTCATAGAGTCGTATGATGTGAGGATGCATAAACAATCTCAAAATTTTAATCTCCCTTCTAACTGCACCAAAGATGAAGTCTTCCTCATTCAATAATTCTAAGGAATTTGACAACCACATGCAAGAATCCATGCAATCATGACTCAAGACAGTTTATAAAGTTTGAATCACTGGCGGATGCATGTATATGCCCACCCTGTAATCCGAATTTCTTTATACTAGTTCATTTTACTAAAGATGCCCACCCTAAAATTTTATTGTGCCCACCTGAAATTCGAATTTTTTTTATATTAGTTGTTCATTTTACTAAAGGAGCCCATATGAAATTTTATGTGTTTGCCCCATACGGAATATTAGTTGTTCATTTTACTAAAGGAGCCCATATGAAATTTTATGTGTTTGCCCCATACGGAATTTTTTTTATTATTAATACATATGTACCCAGCCTGAAAAATATTTCTGGATCCACCACTGATTTGAATTGATAACTTTTTATTTTAGTTCCGGAAGCAGGATAACATGCAGAAAATGTAATAAGTAATAAATTAATAATCAAACTGAACCTAAGAAATTTAATCCTTCAAAATAGCAAACTCTAAAAAAACATTCGAAAAAAACAAGAAATCTAATTTATAATCAATGCTAGACTCAAGGTGTGCTTGATCGAGCAAAAATGTGGAAAGTGAAAAGAAAATAAATTTTGAGCGAGCTAGGTAATGTATTTTTAAATGTTTAGCTTTATTCTTTAATTTTCCAACTCTACCAAGCTATGTTTTGGAAGAAAATTATTTTTTCTTTAATATTTTTAAAATATAAATATTTTCTTTCAAATTTCCTCCTCACATTATTCATCTTCCCAACTTTCTACCAAACAAAGCAAATTAATGTCGCAAATTTCGTTAATCTAACAAATTACTATATTCTTAATTATCAAGCTATTTTTCTTACTTCAAAGACTAAACAAAGCCTAAAATTCAATCTCTAAAACCAAAATAAAGAATGAAGAAAAAAGTTCTCCAAAAAGAATTTACCTTTTTCCTCCATCTCCATATTCTTAATCTTTCTCCGATTAAGAATCTTAATAGCAACTTTATAACCAGTGGAACAATGTTCAGCAATCTTAACCTTTCCGAAGGAGCCGATTCCAAGCGTTTTTCCAAGCTTGTAATTCGATAATACATTATCCGCTCCACTTCCTCCTCTTCCTCCTGATCCATCCATTTTCCTTCCCTTTTTTACTTCAAAAAACGCAAATATGTATAAAAAATCAAAATCAATTGAATCAAATCTGTTAAAAATCTTGAGAATTAAGTGAGATTACCTGATTCGATCGGAACAGCCTTCGCTAGTTTTTGTTTTAGATGGAGAATCCAATCGGAGAAGAAATAGCGAGCGATTTTTTTTTTTTTTTGTTCTTATTGGCTAAAAATCTGACTTTTTTCCTTATTTTCTCGCCCTTAGGATTCGATAGAATTACCGTGATGCCCCCCTTTTGTCGTTTTATTATATTTTTTTAGATTTTTTAATCAAAAGAAGGGATAATAACATATTTGGTACTTTTACGTTAACAGAAATTTTCAATATGGTATTTATACTTTTAAAATGTGCAATTTGGAACCTGTACTTTTTAAATTTTCCAATGTGATGGATGTACAATTTGAAAAAAATATTTTTTTTGTTTTTGATTTTTTTCACATATCTATGTGGATTTACTAGAAAAAAAGAGTCAAAAACTTCATCACGTTAAAAGGTCAATATGGTATATTTGTTTTTTTTATTATCTTTTGTTTTTTATATAATATCTTTATTTTTCTCTTATTTTTAATTTTTAATAAATCTATTTTTATTTATGTTTTCATTTGTTTTTATGATATATTTTTTATCTTTTGACACGTTTTTTAATTATTTGACCATTATTTTTTATTTTTTGTTTAAGAGTTGATTTGATTTTCGTCACAATTGATCAAGATGAAGTTTATTTATTACCATAATGATCTTCCCTATTTTAGTCTATCTGATTGGATTTAGTTACTTGGTTTGCGTTCATGGATAGTTTTTTCATGTCGCTCATCTATGATTTGTGGTTTCGTCAGTGGACTTTCAATATCTTGATCCCTTTTTACGGTTCATTTGTCGATGCAATCAGATCTATTGTATCTATCTTTGTTCGAGTTTTTTTGGTTATGTTTTTTTAAACTTTCCTTGTATGATCCTTGTACGATCTTAAGTTGTTAGTTTTATGTTAATAATTTTAGAAAAATGTTATAATTATGCGCTTAATTTATGATTATGATAGTAAGTCTACATTATAATTCAATATACTTTATTATTTAATAAAATCAATGGTTTTTAAAAAAACTTCAACATGTTAAAACTTTTATCGATTGCTTTAGCATTAACGTTATCAACCTTAAAAAGACGTTTGGTTCCCGAAAAAGATTATAAAAAAAGATTATCAAAGGGAATAATCTTTTTCGAAATCGTATTCTCACATTTAGTTCACGAAAAATATCATTACCATGTAATAACTTATTATCAATAGTAGATTTTTTTTGTTAAAATACTGAGAATGTCATGACCTCCAAATTCTTAGATAATGAACAATTCCCACCACTTTGGACACAAATACCCCTAAAAAAATGAATTCTTTTCATATGGACCATTCTCAATTTTTGTTCTTCGTGTTTCACTCAAAATTACAAACTTAATAATAATAATATACAAAGAGTTTAATTTAGTAAAATATTAATAAATTTGAGTAGTTAAAATTATTTCATATTTTTAATATTTGTATATTAATCATTTTGTAATTTTATAATGTGAAAATGTTATTATTATAAAAAATATAATTATTTAAAATAATATTTAATTTTGAGTTATTAAAAAGTAGATCTTACACATTAAAAAATAACATATTTGTCTACTTGAGACCACCATATTATTTTTGTTATTATATTATGTCTTATATAAATAAATATGATACTTACGAAAATGATTTAAAAATATAAGTTTGATATACTAATTATGTTAATTATATGTTAAATGTATTTTTTTCTTTAAACTTGGACAATGTAACAATTAAAATATTTTTATATATTTTCATTCAAATATTTATAATTTAGTATTAAAGTTTAACTTGTTAAAAATATATATCGTAAGGACAATTTGGTAAAATATGCATCCAAATAATCTTATATTACTCTATACAAACACTGTAATCTTATATTTCTGCTAAACAAACAAAACAATGTAATATAACATTCTTAGAGTAATGTTATATCCCTGAACCAAACACACTCTAAGTATTATAATAATACATAAAATGATAACTCATGTATCATATTAAATATTTTTTAAAAATATAAGTATTATATTGAATAGTTTAAAAAATATATATATTGTATTAGATATGTTATCAAAATATAAATACAGTATCAAATAGGGCAAACTACACAGGTGTCCACTAAACTTTGAGAAATTTCATTTTGATCATCGTTGTTTCGATTTGATCAATTAGACCACTCAACTATTTAAATACTTAAATCAAGCCATTGACCATTAACTTTTAATGAAGGAGATGACGTAGTAATTAAAAATTTGGTATAATTGCATATTTGGTCCTCAATGCTCATAAATTATATCATTTACCAATTTCTTCTATTTCCAGTCTAACTCATCTTCTAAAACTCAGCTTTTGGCAAATTGGGTCTTCCCTTTTATCTGTACTATTCTATTCAGCAAACAAACTACAGAAATGGATTAACCACCAACACTAACACGACAACCCAACAAAAATTGGCACTAGGGCTGTCACATGTGTCACCCTCTTATTTGATGAAAAATATTAGATTAAATAAATAAAAATTAAGAAAATATTCTCTAATCAAGTAGGGACACATGTTATAATTTAATTGGAGATTAAATTTAGTTTAATTGAATAAAATTATGACTAAAATGATATAATGTATAAATATTGAGGACCAAATAAGCAATTATACCAAGTTTTTCAACTTCCACATCATCTCCTCCATTAAAAATTTCACGTGCAATGGCTTGATTGAAGTATTTAAATAGTTAAGTGATCTGATTGATCAAATCGAAACATCGGTGGTTAAAATGAAAATGGGAAATAGTTTAGTGGTCACCCGCGTAGTTTACCCTATTAAAATATTTTAAAAATATAAATATTATATTGAATATTTTTAACAAGATTAAAGCATTTAGTTTTATTAAAATTTTAAAAAAATATTCAAATTACAATGATAATTTACAATCGTAAGAGTAAACTAAACAAATAATTAGAACATTTTTTCTATAATTTTTAATACAAAAAACTAACTACTTAAGATCACACAATGACCAAATAAAGAAATGTTAAAACCTTAACCAAATAAACTTGAATAAAAAGTAGATACAAACAGATCTGACTGCATCGACAAACGAATCATAAAAGATATCTTCTAATAAAAGGACGAGTTTGTAACTTTTAATAGTTGGAAGACTCAATAAAATAATACCCTATAATTAGAGGATCATTTTATAACTTTCAATAGTTAGAAGACTCCACAAAACAATGTAATCAAATGACTCAATAAAATAATATTCTATAATTGAGGACCATCTATGTATTTTATCTCTAAAAGTTTTGACCCTTCACCTTTATATAATAATAAAATCTATAACTTTTACACAGTACAAGGACTAGCAAAGCATTTGACCTAAAATATAACACATGAATTTGAAATAAGAAAAATAAGTTGTTAAAAAATACTTGTCTTTTATTAGAACCCTAATAAGAAATTTTCTAAAAACAAAGATCAAATTTGTGATCCAACAAAAAAATAAATAAAAATCTTTTCTTTTTCATATTTCCAACTCCGTACACACTCTCATGTAGGGATGAACATAGGTTGGGTTGGGTCGGATTTTTGATCCACCCAATCGGAGAACAAGGGACCCTCTACTCGATCCGACCCGAACTCGAACTAATATATAACTTAAAAATTCAATTGAATCGAAATAATAAAAAATATTATTTTTATTCAATAAAAACAATGATTTAATTGAAAAAAAATATATATAGAGGTATATTATTGTAATTATTCATAAATATATATATAAATAAAATTATATATTTTTTTAAAGTCGAATCGAATATTTTTCACTCTAAATCCAAACCGACCCGATTCGACCCAAATATTACACTAAAAAATCTAACTCGAACCCAATTTAAAAAAAAAACTCGATCTGATCTGATCGAATCGAAACTCATCGGGTTCGGGTCCGGTCACATGCCCATCCCTATCCCTACTCCCATGTAACCCAAAACGCTCCAAAATTTCTTCAGAGTTCACTCCTTTCCTAGTTATTCCCAAATTCCCTCAATTGGAATCCTCGAGAAAGGTACCAAATTTCCGCACTGGATCCAGTTTTTCCCCTGATTATTTTTGGGTTGAATGAAGATTGTTTTACCTTCCAAATCGACCCAGATTTGATGCATCATGATTCATCCTTTAAAATACTGACCTCGAATCATATTTCTTTGTTCAAGTGTTAGTATGATTTTGTTTGCGTTTTGATGAATTGGATTGGATCTGGTTTCTGGGATTTGAATTTGGGTTTTTCTTTCATTTTTGAATTATTTTCAATTTATTTTAGGTCTACACGTTGATTCCTTTATTGGGTTTTTATTGTTCTTTCTCTCGAGTGTTGATCTCGATTTAGTTATTTTTAATCTTCAGTTTTGTAGTTACTTTGGTTCAAATTTTCTTGCCCTTTGCTGCTTAATTCCAGAGGATAGTATTTGACTCTGCGTAGTTTAATTATTTGTCTTGTACTTTAGAATAATCCAAGTGAAGTTCATACTAATACACTACTGGTAATTGATGGTTATCAAAGGGCTTAACTTTTATCTTCGTTCTTCACCTTTAAGGCAGCATCTGAGAACATTCATTTCCTAGTTTATATTCGATTTCGATTGTTTTGACATCCATTTGTTGATTGCAGCTGATAGCAGGATTTTGCCCGAGTTTAGCAATCTCGTTTGAGTAGTTTCCGGCTTCTTGGTTGAGAAATAATTTTCAGTTTCATTAAGAATTTGTTTGAATATGGGGGATCTAATTACACAATCTAGTTACAGTGGGTTTAATGGAGAGCTTGTCAAGCCTTCTAAAGGTGCTTTCGCATGTATGATTAATTCTGAAATTGGGGCTGTTCTGGCTGTCATGAGGAGAAATGTCCGGTGGGGAGTTCGTTATGTTGCAGATGATGATCAGCTCGAGCACTCTCTCATCCATTCCTTGAAAGAATTGCGGAAACAAATTTTCTCATGGGGATATCAGTGCCAAAATGTTGATCCAGTTGTGTACCTTCAGCCGTTTTTGGATGTAATTA